ATGGGAATTATAATTTTGTAAAACTTTTATATTTATTTATAGAATTATTAATTAAAAAATATTTTTGTCAACATTGAAAAAAAATTGTTAGCAAAATATATATTTTTATCAAGTGTATTTTTTTCTGGCCTACCAGCTCTCTGTCTAAATATTCTTGGTAAGGAACAAAAAAAGATGATTTTATTGTTCGCAATTGCACATAGAAAATTTCAAGTGCACTTGAAAAATTTACTACATACTTTTATGTGACGCAAAATTGTGAGAAAAGAATTCATTTTTAAAATGAAAAAGAATTTTCAGAATGAATTCGTTAATTCGCAACGGTATTTTAAGTTTTAACCCAAAAGGGCATTTTCGTCCTTTCGAGTGCCCTTTTGTGACTAATTAGATTTTGAACGTTTTTGCCTAGTTGGACACCAACCGCATTTCTAAAGTGGATCGACACGGTTATTAAAAAAATAAGTTTTGGAGTATACCGAGTTGCTGTAGAGTTTTAGTGTATTAGACAATTATATTTTGTATTTAATCCTATACGATTTTCTTGAATACATAATTCATGTTAATCGAACGGTTTTTGAGTTACAAAAGATATTGTAAAGGAATGTATTCACGAATTGGCTAATTCGGGGCTATATTCGACATTGTTTTCAAATACGAATTTAGAGTATACCGAGTTACTGTAGGGTTTTAGTATATTAATCAAATATTTTATGCATTTAATCAATAAATCAATAAATTTCTTAAACACATCATTCATATTAATCGAATGGTTTTCGAGTTACAAGAGATATTGTAAGTAAATGCACCAAAGAATTGGCTAGTTCTAGGTTATTATTCGGCATGGTTTCAAAATACGATTTTGGAATATACCGAGTTGCCGTAGGGTTTTAGTATATTAGACAATTATATTTTGTATTCAATTCTGTACGAATTTCTCGAATACATCATTCATGTTAATCGAATGGTTTTTGACTTACAAGAGATATTGCAAGTTAATCCATCAAAGAATTTGCTAAATCGGTAATATACTCGACATTGTTTTTAGAAACGATTTTAGAGTATACCGGTTTGCTGTAGGGTTTTACTATATTAGACAAATATATTCTGCGTTTAATTCTGTACGATATTACAACCTATCGACAGTCATTCTTAATAAATAACACTATAAGACACCTTCAAAAATCAACAGTGTAATATGGTTTTTTGTGATTTTTTTTTTCATTATCTATTTAATATATTTGATTTATACAATTAATGATGTTTCAAATGATATATATCAATGAATTGTATTAGTATCAGATGATAGGTATACAAAATCTTATATACTCACTTTTTCTTTTATGTAATATAATATGGAACAAATAAATCTTTTCAAACAAAACAAAACAAAACAATTCTGTACGATTTTCTCAAACACCTCATTCATATAAATCGAATGGTTTTTGAGTTACAAGAAATATTGCACGCAAATGCATAAAAGAATTGGCTAATTCAGTTCCAGTACAAATTTATAGTTCAGAAAATATCAGTTTTTAAGAAGCTCGTACGATTACACTTTATATACACTAGAATGCTGAAATTATAGTATATTAATAATGCTCAGTATGTGCAAATTAATAGTTAATTTACAAAATTTTAATTTTTGATATATTAAGCTTGTAAAAATTAATTGTGCTCAAAATTACACCCGAACGCCTCATATTTTAGTACAAACTTATGGTATAGAAAATATAAGTTTTTAAGGAGCTCGTATGACCACACTTTTTGTACAATAATGCTGTAATTTTAATATAATATTACGGAATTTATGCAAATTAATATCAATTAAACCAAAATGCATATTTCTTTGTATTTTGTTAGTAAAAAATAATTGTGCTCAAAATTGTAACCGGGCGACTTACATTTTAGTACAAATTGATGGTATAGAAAATATCAGTTTTTAAGGAGCTCGTAAGGCTACATTTTATATACTACAATACTATAATTCTAGTATGGTAATGTTCAATCTATGTAAATTAATATCCAATTTACAATTACAATTACATTTTAAATTTTGATATATTTTGCTTGTAAAACATAATTGTATTTAAATTTGCACCAGTTTTAGTACAAATTTATCATATAGAAAATATAAGTTTTTAAGGAGCTCGTAAGACTACACTTTATATACAAGAATGCTGTAATAATAGTATGTTATCTCTAAATATATATAAATAAATAGCCAATTTACAAAAATTGTTATTTAAATATATTTTGCTTGTAAAAAATAATTATGCTCAAATTTGCACCCGTGCGACTCTCATTTTAGTACAAATTGATGATATCTAAAACACTCATTTTCAACGAGCTCGTAAGGCTACACTTTATATACAACAATGCTGTAATTATAATATATTAAAGCTAAAAATATGCAAATTAGTCGCTCATTTACAAAAGTGCACATTTCAAAATATTTTGCCAGTAAATAATAATTATATACAAATTTGCACCAGTTTCAGTACAAATTGATGGTTTAGAAAACATTCATTTTTAACGAGCTTGTAAGTCTACACTTTTTGCACCAGAATGCTGTAATCTTAACACAGTATTTCTGAATCTATGTAAATCAATGTCAATTAAACCAAAATGCATATTTCCTCGTATTTAGCTAGTAATAACCAAAACTGGACAACATTGTACCCGTGCGACTCTCATTTTAGTACAAATTGATGATATCTAAAACACTCATTTTCAACGAGCTCGTAAGACTACACTTTATATACTAGAATGCTGTAATTATAATATGGTAGTGCTCAATCTATGTAAATTAATAGTAAATTTACAAAAATTCATACTTTCTCACTTTTTGCTAGTAAAACCTGAAAATTACAAAATTGTTTCTATGTGACTTTCATTTCAGTACAAATTTATAATTTTCATATTACTCATTTTACACGAGCTCGCAAGGCTACATTTTATTTGGTAGAACGCTAAAATTTTATCATGTTAATACTAGATATATATAAATTAATAGCTAATTTAAGAAATTTGATATTTCCTTGTGTTTTGCTAGTAATTTACAAAACTGTAGAAAACTGTACTCATGTGACTCTTATTTTATTACAAATTGAAGATATCTATAACATTAATTTTTAACGAGCTCGTAAGGCTACACTTTTAACGAACTAGAATGCTATAAAAATAGTATGTTAATGTTCAATCTATATACATTCATAGCTAATTTACAACTAGTTGGTTTGGTATTTAGCCTTGAGGCAAGTTACATGAACTTCCCGAAATATGTAAATAATCGACTTAATCAAAAAAAAAATGTGTAAATAATATACTTCATTAATCCTACTTTAAAAAAAAAACGATAATAATTTTAGCAAACTTTGACGAATTTTTAAAATTAAACTACTTGTCGTTAGGCCGTAATATTACAGTAAGTTCTATAAGACAATGATGTATATCGCCAAAAAAATTTCCATGAAAATCGACTTAAATTTTTTTTTCAACAGTTAATTACAAGAAAACGGCTCGGTAGATTTTCACCTAAAATTAATCAGTATCATTCCCAAATGATATCTTTCGAACAGTTTTTGATTTTTTAAAATCGGTTCGGTAGGATGAGCTTAAATGTGGACGAAAAGTTCAACACTTTTTTTCAAATTACAAAGAAACGGCTTGGCAGATCGTTGCACAAAACTGACAAACGATAGTCCTCACCGAAATACATCAAATGGCTTTTAAATTTCTAAAATCGGTTCAGGCGTTTTTGAGAAAACGTCGATCAAAAGTCTAATTTTGACAAATGCCCAAAAGACCATACTGATTTTTGCAAACTTTGACGAATTTTTAAAGCTGAACCAGTTGTCGTAGGGCCGTAATATTTTAGTATGATCTAGAAGACTATGGTATCTATCATCAAAAAAATAATCATAAAAATCGTCGAAATTTTTTTTTTTAAAAACTTTATTACAAGAAAACGGCCCGGCCGATCTCTACCAAAAACTAATCAGCACGATTCCCAACCAATATCTTTCGAACGGTTTTTGAATTTTCAAAATCGATTCAGAATTGCGGGCTAAAACGTAGACGAAAAATTTTTCACTTTTCTGCCATTTATGAAGAAACGGCTTGGCCGATCGTCGCACAAAACTGACAAACAATAGTTCTCGTCGAGATACATCGAATAGCTTTTAAATTTTTGAAATCGACCCAGCCGTTTTCGAGAAAACGTCGATTTACGGCAAAAAATCTGTTCACATACACACACACACACACACACACACACATACTTTTTTCAAATTTGGTCTCATTCGATTCAGAATGGCTTGAAACGTCGAGAAAACATAAAATTAGCGAATCGGGTTTTTTGATGAAAACATAAACTTCTCCTTCGGGAAGTTAAAAATGTATATTTCAATATATTTTGTTAGTTAAAAATATTTTCGCACAAAATTGTACCCGTGTGTCTCATAAATTCGTCAAAGTTTTAAAATATAATCCTTATAAAAAAACGGAATATCAATTTTTATTAATCTAGTCGATGTATACAAAAAAAACTTTTGATCTAGTCGATTTATACACAAAAAGATTTAGGCAACTTGCCTTAAGGTAAAATTTTTATTACAACTAGTTACAATAATATTTTACTAAAAAAAATTGTATCAACCACTTTTTACTAAACAAAATTCCTGAAATGCAAAATATATTAGGTTGTCAAATATCTTCCTTCCGCTTTTTTGCTCTTGATTTATAATACAAAAAGGCGGAAGGGAGATATTTGACAACCTATTATATACAAAAAAATAAAAAAATATATATGTTTAATATAAAATTTATTCTCTCATATAAATTATTTATCAAAAATATACTATACAAAAATATTTACAACCACAAATCGATATGTCGAACTTTCCTTAAAATTAATATTTACAACACTATAAAAATATTTCATCAGTACGAATTATATACAACAAATAATTTTTACAAATATCACTTTTTTCCAAAAATTTTCAACTACAATTCGAATGTTCGCTTTTCACAGAATTTGTAGGACTTTGTTGATGCATCCTGGTATATGCAAGATTCGTTTCTGCAGACAAATTCCACGGATAATCGTGATGGTGATGATGATATTGATTACGGTTGACTCTTTCAGGACTAGGTGTTTTTTGCATGTCGTAACCTTCTAAATTCGGTATAAAAGTTCTGCTGGTTCCTGGTGCACTGCAACAAGGGTTTGTTGGCGAATTTTGTTGGTCCTTCTTGCGTTTGACCCTTCTGTTTTGGAACCAGATTTTCACTTGTTTTTCGGTCAAACGCAAATGTGAGGCTATTTCGATACGCCTGAGTCTTGATAAATAGGCTGAAGCTGCAAATTCGCGTTCTAACCTTAAAAGTTGGTCACCAGAAAACGCTGTCCTTGGGCGTTTGCTTGTACAATCAAGGGATTCCCCTGGCGAATCGGTAAAGGTTCTTTGTAATTCCCCTGGTCGTTTTAAAGATAAATCCATACTATGTGCACTTATCCTAAAATCCATCGGAGGTGGCGATTGCTGATGATTTTCCCCAGGTGGTAACACTTGTAATCGAGTCATGCCCGGAAACGCAGGATTGAAAATCCTTGCAACCGCTGACCGATTCGGCCACATTTTGTCTTCGGCTTCACTGACTTTTACGTCTTTCACGTCTGCCAAAAGCGATGACACTAAAAATGATCTCGACATTGCACCGGATAGTTGTATACTAAATGCTGTGTCTTTGCTACCCTCGGTTTTTATACCTCGAAGGGTCCCACAGGCCACTCCCCTTTAGAATAAGGGTCGTTTTTGTGCAGACTGCTTGGCGCTTTGACGAATCCCTAGACAACAAGACGGCACTTTTGGAAATTGTATTTTTCTAAAAGATTTTTGTGAATGGAATATATTTGAAGGTAAATTTATGTCCGAATGTCGACTGAGAATAATTACACAGAATTTTGGAGTGGTCTTTTGAATTTTTGTAAAATGTGCACTTAGGTTTTAGTCAAAATATGAAGGTGTTGATTAATGGTTGTATGTCGAAGGATAATTTTAAAATTTTTATGATGGTTTATTGTTAATACTATTTAAAATTTTGCATATAATTTGTTTTGGGAAATGCTTTTGGATCCGATTTTATTTGCGGTTTCTGTCAAGCACCTATACATATAATTAATTAATTTTGTGGATTTTTTCTATGAAATAATTATTTTAGTTTTTGTGTTATTACAAATACTCAATTAATATAAATTAAGTGGAAATATAATTAATATTTGATATTAGTAAAAAAAATTAATTATTAATTTTATTAATAATTATATTCTATATTTTTAAAAATATATATATCGTTTTTACACTTGCGTTTAAATATTCAAAATACAAAGCAATATATACTAAAATAAAATTTATATCAAGAAAAACTACAGATTTTGCAGAATCGACTTAAATTGTTAAATACAATAAAAGTACAATTCTAATATACAATAAAAGTGAATTAAATTCAATTAATATTAAAAATATTATAAACTAACTGTACATAAATTGTAATTATTTATGTGATAAAATCAATGGAAAGTAATTTAGTAATGTCCTAAAATTTAGTTAATTTTCCTAAAAAACTCAATATCAAATTTTTTAAATATTTATATATTTTGAGTATTTTTATTCAATGTTCAAAGATTTCATAAGTTTTTAGTAAATTGTTTTAAATAATAAACATAAAATTTTAGATAATTGTTTTTCCTTATCGACTTGTACTTTTGATAATTTTTTTATATAATAGATAAATATTTTTTTGATTAATAGTTTTATTACGATCGGCATAAGAATATATATATATATATATATATATATATATATATATATATATTTAAATATATATATATATATATATATATATATGTATTTTATTTTTTGGTATTTATTTCATAAATTTTGTATACACACTAGTTTTATATTAACAAAACATTTTGTAGCAATATGAGAGTTAAACGGGTACAATTTTGTACAGTTTTGGTTATTACTAGTTAAAAACAAGAAAATATGTATTTTGGTTTAATTAACATTAATTTACATAGATCCAGAAATACTGTATTAAAATTACAGTAATTTGGTACAAAAGGTGTAGTCTTACGAGCTCCTTAAAAACTGATATTTTGTATTCTATCAACTTGTACTAAAATGAGAGTCGCACGGGTACAATTTTAAAAACAATTATTTTTTACTAGCAAAATATATAGAAATATCAAATTTTGTAAATTAGGTATTAATTTACATATATCAAGCAATAATATACTATTTATAGCATTCCAGTACAAAAAGTCTAGTCGTACGAGCTCCTTAAAAACTGATATTTCCTATACCATCAATTTATACTAAAATGAGAGTCGCACGGGTGTAATTTTGAACCAAATTATTTTTAGCTAACAAAATATATTGAAATATCATTTTTTTTAAATCAGCAATAAATTTACATAGATTGAGCATTAAGATATTATAATTACAGCATTCTAGTACATATAGTCTAGTCGTACGAGTTCGTTAAAAACGATTGTTTTGATTGAAAATATCTGAAACATATAGAATTGTAAAGTTTGTTAGCAATTAAATGTCAAGTTATTTTGTTTGAAAATTAATTATCAAAAAAAAAAAATTTAGTAGGTATTTTAAGGAACAGTTATAACAATATAATATTCAAAGTATTATCATGAAAAAACATAAAAAATTTCAAAGCTCACAAATGTTCATTGTTTCAAATATATTAAAAAGTTAGTTATTTCAGTTTATTTTTAATTATCGAAATTAATTTCTATTTTATTTCAATGAAACTATAGTATCAAACAAAAAACAAATGTATTTTGTAATGGATCTTTTTCAAAAAAAAATTCACTTTCGTTCAATTTCATTTTCAATTTGTTATTCCCCAAAATTTAATAAATAATTATTATCAAATAACTTAGTTATGTAACTTACAGTTTATAAAGTTTCTACTGATTGTTCTGTCTGTATAATTTCAAACTAATATATCAAATTTGTATTAAAACTTATAAAAAGTTTTATAAAAAGTCTGTTCTAATCACAGTATTTATATTGACTATCCTGGGAACCCAAAAATACAAGAACTCCTTGAATTCTCAAATAAATTTTATAAGGTTTCAGGAAGAGATAGAATAGAATATAAGACTTTACAGAAAATTAAAACTACTTTCCTATTTTATAAAAATAATGTATAATTCCCAGGAACAAATAGAATAGTTTCATAAAAAAATTAATAATTTTGTTCCTATGTATAATTTTGTGCCGATAAAGTGCCAAGAGTTCAGAAAACAAAAAAACAAAATTAATTTGTTCAAAAAAAATAACACACACAACACGAAGACTTAGAAGAAAAATATTTAGTGATTTAATTAGCTTGTAATTACTCGTGTCACATTATATTACTTCTTATAAAGGAAAAATGCAACTGTGTATTTTTCACTATTAATATATCGATGTCATTTTTTACATATAATTGCCAAAATGTCTATGTAGAACAGTTGTAAATATATTGATGAAAAAAAAAATTGTTCAAAATACTTTTTTCTCAAGTATGAACAAATTCACCCCCATTTTATTACTATTATTATTAATTGATTCAATGCCAACTAAATTACCAAAGTGTTTATATATATATTGCCCTATTGGAATAAAACCTTACAAATACTCGAAAGGTTTTTTAAATAGAATCATTTAATATTAAAGCACAATATCAATAGGAAACCTCGGCGGTTTAAATAAACACACCACCACCGTCCACCATACGTTTAGTTTTGTTAATTGGAACACGCGACTGCAACTTGTCGAAATTATGTCGACAACCCCTTTTGCAGGGGTTGACAACACTAAATAAAAAAATTTACAAACTTTAATAAATGATGATGTATTTTTCAAATTATATATTTACAAGCTTTTGATAGATTGTAGTATATTAAAACAAATATGTACTTACAATTTTGGAATTGTAACAATTTGTCAGTATTTATCTAAGGGTGTCATCAAAGAATCTAAAATAATGAAATTGCGGAAAAGATATGAGTCTTTGATAAATATAAATATGTAGTTTATATTAAATAATATAAACATAACTGGCTAATATATTTTTTAATATTTTTTTGTCTGGGGTCAAACAAAGCTATGGACAATCTGATATCGAGCAGTGGCGATATTTATTAACTTCCCGTAGGGTAAGTTATTGTAATGGGCCGAAAATCGGAATTGAAATTTTTACATTTCTCGACGTTCTGAAGGTTTCTGAACGTTTTGGCATGCCTCAGAGAAAATGGATGTGTGTGTGTGTGCGTGTGTGTGTATGTATGTATGGATACAAATTTCCAGTCACGTTTCAGGGCGCACGGATCAACCGATTTAAATAGTTCAACTAGCTGTAAGTGGAATTCTGTCTTAAGGCAATTAGGGCATCGTGCCTTAAGGCAAATTGCTGGAACTTCCCGTACCAAAAATTATTATTTTTTTAAAAACGATTAACATTTTTGAAAAAATTTTACTTTGCAAAAATAAGATTTTTGAGAAACTATAAATTGGACAAAGAATTACTTTTTCTTGAAAAATAAATTTTTTTTTAAAAAAAAATTCTAAAAAAAATTTTCTGAAAAAAAATGTTTTTTTAATTTTGACATATTTTGGAAGATCTGAACTTTTTTTCAAAGCAATCGTACTGCCGCAACTGCATAGAAACAAAATATAAAGCGCGTAAGCGCCGCGTCGCTGTCTAACGGATAAACATTGGTACGGAACCCATAGGAATGTAAACAAAATTCATACTTATTGTTAAAATCTTTATAGAATATCTGATAATTTGATGTGCATATGTCTAATGATCATTTTTGACCGCGATATGGCATTTTTTTTTACTTTTTTCGTTATATCTCCGAAACCGCTAGACCTGCCCTCATGAAAATTTGATCAATTTTTCATCTTGTCAATACAAGTAAAATGTTTTTTGAATTATTCAAATCGGACGCTCCGTTCTCTTCAAAACTGAGTTACCGTTTTCGGCACTTTTTGCCCCGTATTTTCGGAACGGCTAGACCTGCCTTCGCCAAAAACTAATCAGCACGTCTCCTTATCAGTACGAATCGAATGCTTTTCGAATTATTCAAATCGGTTGATCCGTGTTCCCGAAATCGTCGACGAAAATTTGTATCCGCACATACATACACACACATACATACACACACACACACACACACACACACATACATCCATTTTTTCTAAGGTATGCCAAAATGTTCAGAAACCTCTGAAACGTAAAGATATATAAAAATTTTCATTTTCGATTTTTTTGCGATTACTATAACTTACCCTACGGGAAGTTAAAAAACATTTGATTCCTATTGATAGGGAGATGTGCTGATTAGTTTTTGGCAAAGGCAAGTTTAGCCGCTTCGGAGATACGGAGCAGAGAGTGCAGAAAATACAAATCGAGTTTTTGAAAGTACTGAGTATCGGATTTGATTGATTTAAAAAATATTCAATTTGTAATGATTGGGAGAAGAGGCGATTAGTTTTTGGCAAAGGCAGGCCAAGCCATTTCGAAGATATAGAGCTAAATGTGCAAAAAATGGCAGTTGTTGAGTGAACTAAGCGTCCGATTTGAATGATTCAAAGAACTTTCTACTCGTATTGACAAAATAATTGATTTTGGAAAA